GTGAAGGAGGGGAGGGAGGGGAGGGGAGGGGAGGAGAGGACTTTCCATGAAGTCAATCCAAGCCTTTTCTCTCTGGCACTGGTATTTCCTTACCTTCCTGCTTTATGCACACATCACTCTTTATGCATACATCACTCTAGCCCAAGGGACTTTTCTTTCAGTCTAGAGTAGCTGTGATTCAGTCGTGGTTATGACCTTTCTTCCTGGCCTTGACTCAATGGAATTCGTTCCTTTCTCATCACTTTCATAATTCTTCCTCCTGCATTCTGCCCCGGGTCCACTGTGAGCTCCTGATCTTCCTTTAGTACAGAAATAAGATCCTTCCCCAATTTTGCCCACATTCCTAGTCACATTTGCTCCTGATGTCAGTACGGTCATGAGCATCTTGCATTTCTGTCTAGATTATGATCTTCTGAAGGAAGGGACTGTGTTTTATTCAATATTTGCATATTAATTCCTAACATTAATAGCTTATTAATATTTACTGAATTGAACATTTGCCATCTTCTTAGCCCTAGCTTTGCAATTCTAAGTAAATAAAGACTAAACTACAATAGAAAAATAATTTGCAAGGTCAAGACAGTGTCTGTTTTACATGAGTTGACAAATACTTGCTTTTGGAGAGAATTCATTTGGGCCAAAGAAGGCCAATTAAACATTTGTTTTCTAGTAAGAAACTGGGATACATACATATAGTACCTTGTACATTGTAAACCATCTCCCCTACATCTGCACACACTTCAAAAACAATTCTATGACCAGATGTTCCCCGCTTGCTTCTAAGTTAAACTTGAAGAATTAGTGGGGAAGATTCAATACCTCTTCTTGTGTTCCCATGTATATAAACATCCTTAGATAACTGTCTGGGCTTCTTTGTCCACTTCCCCCTTACTTCAAAGGGTGTGTTTTCTGGCTGGTGTGTGTAGGAAACACATCTTCCTCACTCATTGGGGTGCTATGGTTTGGGTATGAAATGTCCTCCTCAGAGGCACACGGCTCTAAGGCTTGGTTACCAGCCCATGCAGCTGTTGTAGCAGTGCTGGAACCCTTAGGAGGTAGAGCCTGGCTGGAGGAAGTGGGTCGCCAAACATGTCCTTGGGGTTTTATATCTGATCCCTGAGCCATTCCTGTTAATTTTCTCTCTGTTTCCTGGCAGTCATGAAGTAAACAGCTTTTCTTTACCATGGCCCTCCTCCATGATCATTCTGCCTTGTCATGGACCAAAAGTCATGGAACCAGTCAGCCACAGACTGAAACCCCCAAAACCATGAGGTAAAAATGAATCTTTCCATCTTTACTTTTTTTCTGTTGGGTATTTGTTAGAGTGATGAAAAGCCCAAGTAGCACAGGTTGTATATACAGTTCTCTACCATGTTTCAACGAGGAAAGAGAACTATGCCTTTGATTGACTGTGGACTTATTTGTGTATGGCAAGGCAGATTGTTAGCAAAGGCCCTAGTCTATAGAACTGGCACAGTCTTCAAATAGCTTCATATTTCCATCTCTTTCACTCCTGTGCCTATCTCACAATTGGCTCCTAACTGGGCATGGAAATTTCCACTCTGGAAAGAATGCAATTCAATAATTTCATTTAATAAACATTCACTGAGGGGTGATACTGTGCAGTCCATCATGCAAGATGTGGGGTACCGAAGATCAAATGAGGGATTCATGTGGAACTGCAGCTGTCCCTCAGTCTATATGGGAGATGGACTCCGGGATTCCATAAAGCACCAAAATTCTGAGATGTACATGGCTTATATAAGATAGCATCTAACCTACATTCATATAAAGCCTACATGTAAACCATGCACATCTTCCCACGACTGCAAACTATTTCTAGGTTACTTACAATACAACCTCAATGCCACGTATTAGTAGTTACGTGCTATTGTTCAGTGAACCATGAAAACAAAAGTCTGAGCATGGTCCATATAGTCATAATTACGTTTTCAAGAATTTTCAATCTTCATGGTTGAATTCCACGTGAGGAATCTACAAATGGGGGCAGAGGCCAACTGCACTTCCAAAGGGAAGCCCCCACACAGCAGCCCAGCGCCCTCCTACTTACCTTTTCTAAATACCAGGTTCCTGTCAGATGTGAGGGCACAGATGATGTGGTTAGGGTCACAGTTTTCTTTGACTGCGTTATTTTTCATAGTGCTGAACGATGTCTTCTGAGCAATCTTACTCATTTCGCTGTCACTCACGTTGATGTCAAGAAAAGTAGTTATTTTCTTTAGGCTTTTAGCAAACTCCTGAGTGATAAGGAAATTAAGTAAGTAGGCCTCTCAGCCAAACATGAAATTCATTCCTTGAAATCTAAAAGCAAAATTCATCCAAACTAAGTTTTAACTTTGTTTGATTTTGGATTAGGCTGTCGAACTGGAGGACTTACCTTCTTCATCTCTTCATAGAATATGAATAGGATATTCTTATCATTTTTGTGTTCTTCCCAGCCCAAAACGTGATCAAACCAGGAGCCATACACAACTGGAAGAGAAGTACATTGTCCTGTTACCGTTAAAAATGGCTTCACATAGCTGAATTCTTCCCACAACGGCAAAGCAGTCAGACTGAGGCACATGGTTATTACAGACTAGGGTGAGAGTTTTCCTTGGAAGAGTTAATTCACTATTGTTTCAACCAGGAACAATGTTGTGGTAAGACACAGAATGGCCATGTCTTTTCTTAAAGTTTTTATTTATTTATTTTTATTTTATGTGTATGAGTGTTTTGCCTGCCTGTATATGTGTGCCCATGACATGCAGTGCCTGTGGAGGCCAGAAGAGGGCGTCAGAACCGAAGTTTTTATTTATTTATTTTTATTTTATGTGTATGAGTGTTTTGCCTGCCTATATATAAGTGTGCCCACGACATGCAGTGCCTGTGGAGGCCAGAAGAGGGCGTCAGAATCCCCTGGAACTGGGGTTACAGATGGTTGTTAGCCATCATGTGGGTGCTGGGAACTGAACCCAGGTCCTCTGCAAGAGCAGCCAGTATTCTTAACTACTGAACCATCTCTCCAGCCCCAGGTCATATCTTTTAGTTAGCCTGTTGATAAACTTTCTTTTTTTGTTTCTAGTAAATATTTTTTTTTATCACCAGGAAAAGTAACTACAAAAACAAAACATGTTTTCCCAATAATTATGATCTGACCACTTTTTGAAACTCCTGTAAGGATGTACAAGCTGAGCACGCCTTTAATCCCAGCAGGCGGGAGGCAGGGGCAGGCAGGTCTCTGTGAGACTGAGGCCAGCCTGGTCTCCATAGTGAGTTCCAGGCCAGCTAGGGCTACAGGGAGACCCTGACTCAAAACAAAACAAGATTAAGGACTTTCTTCCTGCAAAATTAAATACTTTCATAGTTTTTATTATAAAAGTTTATCGACTTTTTGTTTGAGCCAGGAACTCACTGCATTGTCCAAGTTGGCCTCAAACTCCTGGCAATCCTCCTGCCTCAGCCTCCCAAGTGCTAAGATCACAGGCATGAATCACCATACCCAGTTTTTAAAACTCTTACAGTGTTTATGATTTCATGTATCAGCTAAAAATTAACCTCCTAAATAAAATATGTTAAATCTTAGAGAGTTTATTAAATTGTCTTAGCTCAACAATACCATCTTGGGGAATCCCTCTGCGGCTATGATTGTCTCATTTTCATTGCTATCAAATGATAGCCTTGAAAATTTCCCACAGATTGAAAGAAAAATATTAGGGGGCCAGGGGATGGCTCAGCGATTAAGAGCAGCTGCTGCTCTTGTGGAGGACCCGGCTTCGATTCCCAACAACCACTTCAGGCAACTGAAAACTGCCTGTAACTCCAGATCCAGAAGGATCTGACGCCCTCTTCTGGCCTCTGCATGCATATGGTGTGCATACATACATACATACACACACACATACATACATACAGGCAAATACTCATATACATAAAATATACACATAGAATAAATATAAATAAATCTCTTCTTCAAAATAAATATTATGCAAAATAACCTCTTTAAGCAATGGTGATTACAAATACAAGGTTACCCTGTTTATTTTTAAAACCTGTGTGTGTGTGTGTGTGTGTGTGTGTGTGTGTGTGTGTGTGTATCCCTGTAGAGACCAGAAGCAGGCACTAGATCCCTTGAGGCTGGAGTTACAGGGAGCTGTGACCTGCCCAATGTGGGTGCTGGGAATCGAACCCAGGTCCTCTGGAAGAGCAGCAAGAACTCTTAATTACTGAGCCATCTCCCAGCCACGGAAAGAGGTCACTCTTGCCATGTCATGACATCAACCATCTTTCCTGATACATAAGCACTGTGATTTGAAATGACGCAAATGCCTGGGTCTAGGCGTTACTGTCATCCAAAACCCCAACTCTAGCTTGTGCCCTGTGTGAAAGATCTGCTCCAGTGATGAGCTCCTGGAGCTCTGTTCACTCCTGCTTCACAAAACAAGCTTGTATGGAGCTATGCACATCAGCCTGATATTGTGCACAGGAAAGCTTTGAATAATTCAAAATATAATTAACTCTAAATTAACTGCAATTCTCATGGCCAGATTCTGATGAGACAGAAGGCAAATGAATAATCCCATGCATATCCATTTCTCCTTTTTAACTAATTCTTTTCATTGGCATACAAAATAATGAGTTTCATCATGACGTTTCAGATATGTACATCATTAGACTTAGTTCTTATACACACACACACACACACACACACACACACACACTGCCCTCCTCTGTCTCCTCTCTCTCTCTTGCTGGTTCCTTTCCTCCTTCAAATAGTTTCTCCTTCTGTTTTCATGTCACACGTATTCCATATTCCATCCATCCACTCCTCAAGTCCCCCCCCACCTCTTCTTGCTTCTCGTAGCTCCCTCCTTCACATCACACACACACACACACCCTAGATTCTGCATATGAGAGAAAACATTCGATATTTTCCTTTCTGAGTCTGACATATTTCATGTCTTTTTTTTCTTCGGTCTTTTCTGAGTCAGGGTCTCCCTGTAGCCCCAGCTGTCCTGGAACTCACTATGTAGACCAGGCTGGCCTTGAACTCCCAGAGATCTGCTTGCCTCTGCCTCCCGAGAGCTGGGATTAAAGGCGTATTCCACCACGCCCAGCTTCGTTGTGTCTTTTTTAAATGAGGACTTTCCAGGACTAGTATGACAGCGTCACAGACCAGCCTTTTACCCCAGGGCATAAGCATAGATAGTGAACTCTAGAGCTGCCTGCAAACCAAGGCTTCCTTATCAGCACTTCAGGCTGTTTCAGTGACTTACCCAATACCTTATCTTAAAATTGCCCAAATTACCACACCAGCAATAAAGGATTTTCGAAGAATAGCCAACCTTTTCCCAGATACAAATACTTGTAGGAAAAAGACTGGTTTTCTCTTACACAGGTTTAGGAGACTAACCACTATCTTCACATCAGCAGGACTCCAGAAAACCAGTCTACAACAGCCTCTGCTTCCCACCAGGAGCCACAACCCAGGCCCTACATCATGTCATTGCCCAGAGCTACAGATGCTGTGGGGAGCCTTGAACAACCGGGGAAGCCCATCTCAGGCCAGGGATCTGCGTAGGTGCAGAGACCCAGAGTCGAGGCCCCTGCTTAAAAGTAATCTACCTTGGCCATTGTGGTTTTTCAGTCGCTATATTGCCACATGCCACAAAATGCACGCACGATTGAGTGAGTTTTGGAGCTTGGTCTGATCGTAATTTGAGAGCCAGCTGTTCTGTGTTTCACAAATTCATGTATGATCCAGCTTGTCCCAAAAGGACTGAGTCTGGCTGGGGACTGGGATTGCTGCTCATACCTGCTTGGCCAACACAGGAAAGTGTATTACTACTGTGTTCAGTGATATTCTTAAGCTGGTTACAGATTGTAAGGGCAATTTGGATCAGTTTTTAAATGAGAGTCCTCAATTTTCCAGGTCATTAGTAGACCTTAGCTGTAAAGAAAATATAACTTTTAAAATAAGGTTTAAATCCTCCTCTGACAGGAAGTGTTTTTCGACATATCCTTCTGTCTTTACAGAACCATCCAGCCCTCTCCCAGCCCTTATTAGCTTTTTCTTGGGTTTACTGTATTCCTGGATTTCCCTCACCTACCATCCAAAACCCTTCTTCCTGGGTGTTCCTGAACAGAGTAGGCTCACTCTCACTCAATCCATGTTTCTAAGAGTCTGAGAATTGAGTCAAAAATTTTGCTTCCTAGAAACTTCCAGAACTCCCCTCTTCCTATAGAACTCAGGTTTGGTTGAAACTTATGTCTTTGGAATATACCACTTTTTCCTCCTGATCTCAGTCATAAATCAACCTGGTCTCTCCATCAAAATCACTGAAGGCCCTGACAGCTGGTCACAAGTTTGTGAAACACCTCCATCTTACCAACAAAGAGGAAAAGGAAGAAGAGGAGAAGGGGGGGGGAGAGAAGGAGGAGAAGGAGAACTTTATACAGCCCTGTATTTAGACACTGTCAATAGGATTTTCCAAGCTGTCACTCCAAGGCTCGCTACCCACCTACTTACATCACATTAATGTGTTCTATTCTGCACACCAGCTGTGTCAGATCTTCCAAACTTTCTGTCTGACACCAATTATCATATATGTCTTAGTTTCTAGTCTCTAGAAAGCTCTCTGAAAATATAATTGTATAAAAAAGTAATACTCCCTGGAATGAAGTAGCTTAGGAAACATGGGACACTGATATAAGACTGGAGAGGAACTCCAGGGGTAAAAAAGAGTTCAGTATAAAGACATTAGTTTCACTGAGATAGTAATCTGGTATGATGTTTACCAGAGAATAATTTATACTTATTGTTTAACTTGAAATGCGATTATCTGGAAAGCGGATGAGACGGTTACATAAATGTTTGGCTATAGCTCTTTCTGTGTTCTGTCACTATGTAACTGGGATCTATGTGTGTTCATGGGCATTGGTCTAGTATATCATAGTGCCTTCATTATAAAAAACCTTCTTCTATACACCTGCCTTGATATGAAGCTTTTTAAAATTCTTCTGTGTCTCGTAGAATTACCAAGTAGATTTCTATAGCCTTTCACAACCATCATTTATTTTGAAACTCTAAATGATTCTATAAAGTATGTCTTTTTGCCAGTTCAGCCTTCTTTTGTATTTGAAGTCTATATCTCTAAAACTTTGTGTAACTTGTGCAAAGTCTCTCAGGGAATGATGAAGACACAAGAACTGATGCCAGGCTTTCCACTGATGCCATCTCCTCTTCCACTATATCATTCTCCTTGACAAAAGTAGTCGAACTCCAGGCTGGAGAGATGGCTCAGCCAGTGAGTAAGAACACTGGCTGCTCTTGTAGAGGACCCTGGTTCAGTTCCCAGCACCCACATGGCAGCCAACAACCATCTGTAACTCTGTAAACATCTGTAAAAAAATCAGCTGGACATAGTGGCACACACCTTAATCCCAGCCCTGAAAAGTCAGAGAAGGCAGATCTCTATGAGTTTGAGTCCAACCTGATCTATGCAGTAAGTTCAGGTCAGGCCAGCCTGGTCTACATAGTGAGATCCTGTCTAAAAAAAAAAGGTAACTCTACAACAACAACAAAAACCCAAAACAAAAACAAACCTAAGAATTCATACAGTGGCCCCG